ATTAAAAAATCTGCAATCAAGGTAACTTTTATTTTTTCAAGGGGATATAATAATAATTTGCTTAAGAGGTTCCTGATTCATGTAATACCAAAATAATGGAGAATTAAAAGGCATTTGCAGTTGCAAATATTTGTGCTTTATTTTTTACAGTATTATGGAAATCAATTGCATTTTACATTAGAGTTTTTGAAGAGCATGATTGTAGATATGTAGCAAAAATAGCTCTGAATTGAATTAAAAATAATGAACTTAGTATTGTCAGAAATGTGGGAGTATGAAATCAATGGATATTTTGTGGAATTATCTAGATTTTGCTGTCATCATATGCCCCAGTATATCTTGCAGAATATTAATGAATATAAAAACAACTCCAGAAGTTTGCAGTGGGATCACAATTGATGCAATGTGATAGAAGAATTGATGTAGCATTTCACACTTTTGTCATTCTGCATTGGTTTGTGGCAACTTTTTTGTGATTTTATTTTCTTTTTACCTTTTATCAGATGTTCCTGACGAGGAGAATCTAAATGGCAAAAATAAATTGCTCTTCTAAACATCTGACATGAAATATTTCCACCATGTGGAACTACAGTTTAATCACAGTCCTATTACTGTGATTTTTGAAGAAGGAAATACAAGCTAAAATCCAAAGTTTTTCTTCTTTTTTGGATCATTTATGCAAGATGGATGTTGTGTATTGTGACATTCCTGCAGCAGATGTTTGCATGGGAGAGAGCTCTGTGCATGTGACAGGACAGGTCCCTGTGACCCAGGCAGTCCTGGGGAGTCACCTGGGAATGGTGTGCACCAGGTGTCAGGGAGAGGCCTCCCAGAGAAAGGTTTGGAAGCAAGTTTATAGTGCAGGGCTGAATTTATCCGGGTTTATTTTCTGCCACTGGGCAGCACAATAACAAATTCCCACAGTAATGAGTAAGAATAGTCTACAGTGAAGAACGGCTTCTGTGATAGAGCTTGGCAGCATCATTGGCAGCAAAAATTACTTCTGGATGTGCCTTTTCCAAGGAGAATGTGTCCTTGCACTGTTAAAAAGTGTCTAATTTCCATTTTGAATTTCTGGTTATGTTGAGATTTTGAGGGGTGGGGGATGTGGTGTTTAATTTCTTTTCTCTTGCCTTTCTTGATATTGGGGAGGGCAAAAAATTTATTTTTTTTATTCAATTCCCTCCCACTTTTTTTTTTTTTTTTTTTTTTTTTTTTTTTTAAATCAAGAGTTTCGTTTCTGTACTGTGCAAGGCTGTGAGCAGGTTCTGGCTCAAGCAAAACCTGTTCTGATGCTGAGCCATGAGGATGGAGGCTCATAGTTGACCATTACTGACCAGTAATCCTTAAGGACCCCCTGGAATGAGTCCAGAGGAGAGTGATGAAGATGTTGCCAGGACTGCAACACCTCAGCCAGGCTGAGACAGTTTGGATTGTTCTGCATGGAGAAGGCTCTGGAGAGACCTTAGAGCCCCTTCCAGTACCTAAAGAGGGCTCCAAGAGAGCTGGAGAGGGACTTCGAACACAGTTATGGAGTGACAGGACAGGAGAATGGTTTTAAACTGAAAGAGAGTCAATTTAGAATAAATATTGGGAAGAAATTCTTGACTATGAGGGTGGTGAGGCACGGTTTGCCCAGAGAAGTCGTGGATGCCCCATCCCTGGAAATGCTCAAAGCCGGGTTGGGTGGGGTTTGGAGCAACCTGGTCTAGTGGAAGGTGTCCCTGCCCAGGAATGAGCTTTAAGGTTCCTTCCAACCCAAACCATCCTGTGATTCTGTGATTGATTTTCCTGCTGAAATGCAATTACACTTGTGACTTGGGATAATATTTATAGGACAGTCCCTGCAGGTGTTTTATTAGAGCAGTACTTACATGGAATTAGCAAATTTGGAGGAAGTGGGAGAGTTGGCATTACCAGATAAACCAGACTTTCTGGCAACAGCAGGTTATACCTAAGCCCATGCATGTGTTTTCTTTTACTCCAGAGAAGTAATCTCTTAACGCTTGTTTGCAAAACTGGACAAAAAAATAGCGGTGGATTTATTCTGAAATGAGTATTTTGTCCTTTGTGTTTAATTAATGCCTTGGAGCCAAAATGACATTTGTTTCTGCCCGTGGGTGTTGCTGGGGGAGCTGATGTGCTGTGAATTCCAGGGCATCTTTGCTGTGTGCTGGCTCCGAGTGATGTCTTGCAGACCAGCTCCTTGTTTTATTTATCCCCCACAAGCTTTTGTGTTTGCAGCCTAATTTTCGGTAATGGGAACAGTCAGATATTCATCTGTGCTAAAACATCTCTGGTTTAACCAGAGCCCTGCCACTTAGATATGAGCCAAGCCCAAAATGTCCAAACAGTCAGCACTGCTGAACTCTCCTACTTTTGTTAATAACTTTTATTGGAAGTCTGACTTCTTTTTTGTCTCTGTTGACAAAAAAATGGGGAGGCTGAAAATCATTGTGGGCTCTTAATCACAATGAAGGGTACCAGGCTGTTTTGAAGGCAAGTTTTGGTGACATTACCGATTGGGTTTTTATATATAGGGGAAGCTAAATCCTTAAAACATCCTGCTCTAAGGCAAAATGTAAAGTAATAGAAGAGGATAAAATATCTTCCAGAGCAGTGCAATTGCATTGACTCACAGGCTCTGCAGAGCACATGGCTGCACTGCCTGCTCCAAAAGGATCACACCTAAACCCCTCCAATACTCCCACTGCTCCAGGAAGCAGCTGCATGGGTGCACAAGTCCAGAAGCACTTGGCTGGCTGGCTGTTTGCACACAGGCATTCGAAGCTGGTGCTTTTGAACTCACTGAAGAGCGCTTTCCTGGTAATTCAAGCTGGGATAATTCCTTTACAAAGAACCACTAATGATCTTACAAGCACCGAATCGAGTTGAGACGGTTTCTAAGAGTGGGTCTGGCGCCTTGGCTGGTGGCTTTGAAATGCTGAATGTTGTTGTAGGAGGCTTCCAAATCAAGGGAAAATGAATATGAATAAAATGAAATGCGAATTCTGAGGGGTTTCTTTCTGTTGTTCCAACATAGGGCCTAAAATTTAAAAATATGTGTATCAAAGTTGCTAGAAAGCATTTTAAGTAGCTGGACAAACTGATGCAACAGAGAACAATTGTAATTTTTTTAAGTTTTCAATTTGTGAGGGTTGGTTTTCTAAAAACACATGGGGTTTTTAAGTATAGTTACTGAGACAGAAAAACCCGTGCTTCTCTTAGTCTCTCATATAAATATTTTTGCGGCACTCTGTTGTTGCAGCTCCTAGAAGACCTGATTCAAGGCTGGGGGCAGTTTGTGTTTCTTGGGTGTTTTGTTTTGCAGCTCCTTTTTATAGCCCGGGCTCGGAGGTGAAAGGGGACGAGAGGTGGGAAAGTGTGTAGGGACAAAACCAAGGCGGCTGCAGGAAATGGGTGTCCATTCCCACACCTTCCTGAGGGCATCGAGCTCAGCTTCCCAGCCTGAACCCCAGATTCCAGCCCGGCAGCAGCAGTGCGGGGCTTCAGGATTTGGAGTCTGTGACTGATTTCGGTTTTGCTTAACTCCAAGGGGGCTGAATTATTTTTTAGCAGTAGGAAGGATCAGAAGGGATGCCTTGTTTGCCGCTGAGGATGAGCAGGGATACTACATTTGTGGTATCCTTACAGATCCTTACAGAAATAAGGATTTCTGTATTTCATGGCTCCATCTTATTTTTTGTTCCATTTTTCATAGGTGAGATAAACTAAAAAGGCATTAAATAAAACTGAAGCTTAGTTCTGAGCAGCCTGATTTACAGCCCTCTTGGTTCAGGTTTTAGGTTGGTCCTCATGAGAGTGGATAACCAGATGCCATCAAGCCCACATGGGAGGAGAGAGTTTTAGCTGCTTTGTAACTAAAAGAATGTTTCGTGAGTGCACTTAACACTTGAATGGAGTGACAGTGTCTTTGTGTAATCAAAGAGTTTTGTTTTGATCAACTTACATTCCTTTTGATTGACAAAACCTGAGAAGGGGAACAAAAAAGAAGTCCTCCTTATGCCTTAGGCTCAGGCAAAAACATCTCCTCTAGAAGTAGGCACTTCCATCTCCTCCTGTCCACTCACATTCCCCATGTGATTAAGCCATGAAATCAGCTTTAGCAGATCTCAAAGGCTGCATGGGCAGCGCTGGCCTGATTACATCTGTGGATGGGCTCACATGACTCGGGGTGCAGAGTTGTGGCTGGGAAGCCTGAAATGTCAACAGGAGCTTGGCCTTGGAGGTCATCCCGTGGAGGACCAGGTCCCTGCGTTGCATGGCACTGCCACTCCTTCTGCAAAGGTCAGGATAGAAACCTGCCCGAAGCTGAAACACACGTGGAGCAATGAGAGGTCAGGTTACAGAGAGCTCTCGTCAGATCTTGTGTGTGAAACGAGATTTGAAATGTGTTACAGATCCTGGGATTATTTTGGAGTGGTGAGAAAAGCTGCTCCTCCTGCAGTAGCTGTTCCGTGAAAGCCTGCTCTGGGCTTTTGTAGGTCTGGAAAAACAAGGATGCTAAAACTGGGGAAATTCAGCAGGAGCTGAAGAGGCATTGGCTTTGCAGTGCTTTTTGCAGCAGTTGCTTAGGCTGAGGCTGGCTGGGTCTGCCCGTATCCATGGAGAATAGTTAACTCAGCAAGGGTCTGTAGTCTGTCTTCTGCATGGTGCTCCTTAGAGCCTCAGGGGTTAACTTACAGATTGCTTGAGATCTGACTTTTCTATTCCTTCCTAATCAAGGAATGCTGTGAGAGATGTTCCAGGTTTTTGTTTTCACTTTCTTAGGCAATCTTCTGCAAACACATCTACCTTTGGCAGATCTCACCTGGATTTTTATCACTGATACAAATTAGCACTCCTAATCAGACAGAAAAATGTAAGAAAGTCCATTGCCAAATGGAGTTAAGCTGTCAAATTCCACACCAAACGTTTCTTTCTGCATAGGGATCAAACGTAATTGTTTTTCTCAAATATTGTTCTCTCTTCTTTTCTAGGAATCAGAGTTTCTCTGCCTGGAGTTTGATGAGGCCAAGGTGAGCCAGATGCTGAAGAAATTGTCAGAAATAGAGGAGAGTATGACCTTGTTGACTCAGACTAGTTAATCAAATAAAGAGATTGAAACTTACAAAAAAATTACCCTTGGTACCTTTTCATAATTCCTATTTCATCAAATAAAATACATGGTGCTGGTCAAATCCAGATTATAACCCCAAGAATGGGCTAAATCATAGTGTGAAGCTTTCTCATTGCGTCCTCCCAAACTGTTTTCCAAGGCAGCAGCAGCACTGTTTCCACAAAGCTTTGCATAATCAGGCCTTGAGTGTAGCACAGCTTTTCTCTTTTTTCCCTCAGTCACTTCTGGAGTCTTCCAGATGCTGTGGATGCTGGGCTGGATGAACAGCAAAGGTAAATTGGCCAATTGTGACAGAGGAGAAATGAGCAGAAGAAACAGGCAGATGAGGGGAAACTCATGTTTATGCTTGCAAACCATGGACCTTATAGGACAAATCCACCTCTGTCAGCTCTGTCTTCTTAAAGCCCAGGAAAGCAGATGAAGTGCAGGGAGTTCAAGGAGCAGAGGCACAAACACACCTTTCTGTACCTGTGAGCTCTGTGCTGTCAAGGATTCAGTGGTTCTCAAGGGCTGACCAGCCTGGCTGCAGGAGCCAGGGGACAATCAGGAGAGCATCTCCTGGGCAATGGGACATGCTGGTTTTCCAAAAGGAGTAGCCCTGCATGCCCAGAGCACCTGATCCAGCTGTTTGCTGGCGAGCCTTCAAAGCCACCTCTGATCAGCTTCCCCAAAGACCATCTACCCTCATCACCCTCTGGCTCTTGGGCTGCAGTGGTGCAGCCCTGGCATGGAGCTGCACAGTGCGTTTGAGAGGCCAGTGCTTTGTCAGAGCACAGCTGAACTTGTGTGCTCCTAGACCTGTTTTTCATGGTTTGGTTTGACCTGAGAAAGTCTCAGATGGAACCCAAGGTTTCTAAGTGTGTACACGCTCAGCTCAGAATGTGGGTGAGAGAAAATGCCCTTGGCAGCCTGGCAGGCTGAGGCTTTATCAGTACTCACTTGTGTGAGTGAAGAAATCTGCCAGAGGCAGGTCAGGGGCAGAGGGACTGCACTGCCCAGATGGCTCCCAGCCATGCAGTGCCCTTATCTGTGCTGGAGCACCCAGCTGCAGAGCAGCTGCAGCCCCTGTGTTGACAGAGGCTCCCAAAAGGGTTTCCCCTTCCATGTGTTTCCATTCAGTGCTGCGACCTTGCCAGCCTGGTCACAGCAGGATGTCCCACCACACTGAACTGGTTCAGCAGGACCTGGAGGGGCTTGAGCAGGCCAGCACTTGTACAGAGCGGGATAGAAGGCTCTCCTTGCAGGAGAGCTGCCTGGTGGTCCATAAAGAGGTGACAGTCCTCATTCCCGGCTTGCTCTGTCACTTGACTGGAAGGTGTGTACACGTTTGGTTGGAGGCTACATTACTTCTTGCCATTTTATATTCACTTCATAAGCAACCTCCTCCTGAACTAAAATTACGTTGAGGGCTTGTACCAATATAGAGATGACAACATAAAATGTTCTCGGGCCATAGCTAAAGCACTCCTCATCACTTCTCATTGAGAATTTTTTGCTTGTGGAGTTGCCAAATTGCACTTAGACATGAAATCTCTTCAGAGCAAGGGAAGGGCACCTTTTCCCATCTGCCTGGTCAGAAGGGGAAACCCTCCAGCCAATTTGTGTCACTGCCCAGGGAATTAACATTTCCTTTGCTGTGCCTGTCCCACTGTTGCTTTTCCTGTTACAACCTCCTGGTTCCACCCTCTGGTCTCATGGATCCCCCAGCACCTCTGTTTCTCCAAATTCCTTCAGCTGATCCTTGTCAGAAGGGAACTGGGCTGTAACCACAAACTGCCCCTCGTGCTGCTCCCTGAGTTTCTGGCTGCAGTCCCACTGTGAAATGAGTGCTTTGTGATTCTCTGAGCCTTCCATTGCCTTTTTCAATTAAGTTCATTCAAGTGCTTTCTGTGTTTTAGGACATATTTAAAAAAAAAATCAAGGTCAGGGAAGGATCATGATCTTAAGTAACTTGCACTGTGTCAGACATACTTACTGTTTTATTTTAACATGGTCAGAGGATAGGAAAATGTGCTATAAATGGAAATTAAAGAGAAACAAACTGGGAACAGATGTCAGGAAGTATTATTTCATACAAAGAATAATAAATATGTGGAATGGCTAACAAGGCAAGGAGGCTGAGGCAAAAAGTCTAGGGGATATTTAAGAAATAATCGGATACTTTCTTAGTTGACATCTGAAGGGGTATGTTTTTATGGGTGGATGCTTCTCTCTGTTCCTAATCTTCCCTCCCCTGGATACCTTAACAGTCTTCATTTTCTTCTTGGTGGATCTTTCTAAATTGCTGTGCAAAACAAAAAAAAGAAAAAGCTCTGAGTGTGTGAGGACTGCACTGCTCAGCCCTTGGTAGTCATTGGGCAGCAAAATTGTTCCTGCTTCACCAAGTTTGATGTGGCAGGGAAGGGGATGCTCTGCTTCCCGATGCTGTAATCCTCAGCTGCTGCTGAGACACAAGGACAGGTTTGCTCCTTATCAGGGCCGTGCCTTTCTGCTGAGGTGGTTTCTGTGTCTATGTGCATCCATCTGCCCCTGCCCTACTGTGCTTCGAGCCTGTTGGCCACTTCTGGCTGAATTGGAAGGGACAAGGCCCCTGGTGCCACTCTGCTTTGCTCCCTTAAGTGAAAGGCATAAGCACCCATGGCTTTTGTTGGGATGTCACTTGCTATCTGTGGTCCTGCTAAATATCTTTGTGGTGCTGGCAAATGAAAGCTCCTGTTAAGGAGAGATTTCACAAATCCTCCCCCAAAGCCCACATGTAAACCAGACTAATCCTGAATGCATGGACAGGCAACTCCTGCAGTGGCTGGGGCCATGCCTGGCCGCTAGAATCCTGCATGGGTCCAGCTGAGCAGACATCCCAGCACAGCTCTGTTGGCCACTGGGGCCTCATCCAGCTTTGGGGACCACTGTGGTTTCTGCCATGGCCCCAGCTCCTATGTCCATGTGCTAAGCCAGGCCAGCTGTGTGGCACCAGGGCCATCACCTCCTCCTCCTCCTCTTCCTCCTTCCTTCAGGGAAGCAGTCAATGTCACTTCACAGCAAGGGAACGAGCAGCCCAGGACGGCCTGAGAGGGAGAGGGAGGGAGAAGCAGTGGGAAGAAGGGCTGAAGGAGGGAGTCCCACCTGAGGGAGGCTTTCCTGCCCAGTCCTCAAAGGCAGCCCGGGAAGGAGCGCTCCTGTCACGCTGCAGTGTCCTTAGGCTTAGGAAGCTGCCCCCGCAGGGTACCCGCTGCTCGCTGCTCTGCTGACAGACACAGACCCCACAGTGCGGGGGCTGCCCTGGCGCTGGGCCAGGCATGGTCCCCATTGGGATCTGGGTGTTTGATCCAACCGCCCCGTGGTGGCTGAGGCAGGGGCCAGCCTCGGCGGCACCTGCACTTCGCTGCTGCCCCACTTTGGCTGGCGTTTGCCGGGTGACAGCTGCGGAGGCCAGGGGCCACTGTCTCCGCGGTGAACAGCGGCAGCTGCCGCAGCCCTGGCAGAGCGTCCCGGTGACTCAGCCCGCGCGTGATGTTCGGCCGGCCCGGCCCGGCCCCGGAACGCGCAAAAGCAGCGCCCGCCTTCTGGTTCAGCCTTCGGCTTCCTTTCTGTGTCACCTTTTGCTGTGCTGAAATACCCTGCAGCTTGTTCCTGCAGCCGCTCAGTGTTTGCTGGGGATTCCTCCGAGCTGCCGCTCGCTTTGTGATCTCAGGAGCTCCCTGAAGTATCTGCGAGTGCTGCCGCCTTCAATCACACATCGAACAGCCAGCAAGCCCCACACTCGCTCTCTGCTTGGCAAGACCATCACTATTAGTGCAATCTTCTTTTTTCTTGGTCTGCATATGCCCAGAACTACTAAGGTTTTAAAGTGTTCTTCTAGTATATCTGTATTTGAAAAGAAGGAAAAAAAAAACAAAAAGGACGCCACATTTTTCTAAATCTAAGTCAAGCAAGTGTTGTATTTCATAATGTTTCGGGCCATGGAAAGCAGCAGATGATGATATACGTATTTTATGTTGGTGTTGATTTATTTTCCAATTATTCAGGTTGCATAGTCTCATTTTATTTTACATATTTTTAAAAAATATTTCTTTCTTACAGGCCCTTTTTGCAAATGTAAATAGTAGTGTTTGTGCTCTCATTGTGCTTCACACAATGGGAAGGATTTTGCAGGAGCCAATAATCCCCATCTTACTGTGCCTGGACTTCTTAATAAACTGATGGATATTTTGAGAGATTTTCTTTTCTGTGTGTCCGTTCTCTGCTACCTACTGATAAAACATATTGTTCACCACTTTTCTGAGGAGATTTCCTGATTTAGGTATTTACTAACCGTTTGTAGGTGCACAAGTACCTGAGAAGTTTTACCCCAAGGCTCACACTGGCCATAGATTGTTCACAGAAATGTGGGGGGGTTTTCTCCTTCTGGGGAGTTTCAACGCTTTATTCATTCATTCCAAATATTTATGAAGAGGTCCTCAGTGCTGGGGACAGAAGGAACCTTTTGAATAAGGGGAATGCAGTGGTCCTGTAACAGCACCCACTGATGACTTTTTAATGTGTTGTGTTTCATGTTGCTTGAGACTGAAAAAACAGGCAAGGGCTCCTTGCCTTGAAGCTGAGCCTGTTAAAATACTCCTCAAAAATTATTTCCAAATCCCGAGGAAGTGTGATTTGGAGTGTCATTTAATCCAGTGTGAAGGCTAGAGTTGCGCTCCTGGGTCTCCCTCACTGTGCCAGGGGGTAAAGATGCCAGTACAGGGGGACAGGCAGCCATCACCATCCATGCTTCCTCCCTTCAGTGCACCAAAATCGAGCTGTTTCCACACTGTTTAGCCAATCTTTGCCAAAGCTGTGGAAGAGGCCCCCTCTCCTCAAAAAGGACACACAGGACCAAAGGTGTCTTTTCCCAGCAGTGTGAACCCCATGAGTGTTTCCCCAGGGCCACAGAAGTCCTGGAGGACATGGTGTGTTGTCACCTCCCATGGAAAGGTGGCAAGAGGGATGCAGCTGCAGCCTC